ATGACCCACGAGTGATTAGCATAGCATCCGGCGATCTCTCCGCTGATCGATGGTCCTCTGTTATTATTCTCTTATGTCGTCCGGCTACATATCCGCTGTTCGATGGCTCTCTATTCCCATCTTATACACCCAATGGTTACATTTGCTGAGACGCGACTGATCAATGTATCGTCCGATGACATGTCCGCTGAGCGATGGCACTCCATTAGCCTCGCGTTTCACTAACCTATGCTCCTGTTACTACCCTCGGACGCATGTCCGCCCGTCGATGTCACTCACTTACACAGCCTAGCCATCCTCCTGGTGCATTCTTATAGTCGGATGTTCAGTGGCTTGGCCTCCACTACCCGTCCGGCGGGCTCTCCGCCCATCCGAAGGTAGACGACACTGGGCCGACAGTCCGCTCGAGCGACAAATATCATCTCGCTTAAATCCGCTGACACGATGACACTCGTCCGGTACTACTGCATGGGCTGGAAGATTCTGGAGAATCCGATAGCCGTCGCGCATTGCTCTATGGCCTTATGAGGCTCGCACATGCAACCAGCCTTTTCCCCCAGCGACTCCGTCTTCAGGAAGTAGAGCTAGGGGCAAAGATCGGCCAAGGTGGTTTTGGTGACGTTTTTGCGGGACAAATTGGCTCAGCTCAAGTTGCCGTCAAAACTGTGCGCGTTCGAGTTGAAGACCAAGGGATATCACTTCTCAAGGTGAAGCCTATTCACGTCACAGTGTGATTACTGAATCCAATTGTGGACGTGTCAGTCAATTTGTCGAGAGATTGTAGTCTGGAGTCACTTGCGCCATCCGAATATCCTCCCGTTCTATGGAACATTTCAGAAGAACGACTCTGAAATCAGCTTCATTGCGCCCTTGTTTGTTAATGGAAATATTTGCGAGTACATGAAGCACAATCCTGATGTTGCTTCGACGCCTTTAGTTCGTCCTCTGAGTCGTCCTCTTAGTCCACGTTTACTTGTTGGCTGACGGCAAGGTGAAGATATTAGACGTTGCTAGAGGGTTAAACTTCCTGCATACCTTCAAACCGACCATTGTCCACGGAGACATCAAAGGCGTAAGTTTTCGCCGCTATAGCTGCCTTTGCAGTCGTTTAAAGTAAAACAGGCGAATGTTCTCATTTCCGGCGACGGAAAAGCCTGCATCGCAGATTTTGGGACAATAGGGATCAAAGATGGATTGCACCCGCAGATGACCTCAACAATCCCGGTGGCGTACACGATTGCGTTTACAGCACCAGAAGTTCTCGAATATGCAAGCAGTGGTCGACCTGGACACTCCAAACACACTCCCATGAGTGACATGTTCTCGTTTGGTGGATTATGCCACGAAGTCAGTATCTCATCTCACCTTGTCTGCCAATGTGCCTTTTAGCTTATGATCTTCAATACCAGGTTTTCTCTGGTACTCTGCCATTTTCAGAGCATATGGGCTCATATTATGCGATAATCCGAGCGATCATGGATTCTGAGCTTCCGAGGAAGCCCTCTCCCCGGTCCCGTTCCTCAGCAGAAGAGCTCAATGATGGTATGTGGGATTTGATGAAGCGGTGTTGGGCGAGGGATCCATCAGAACGGCCTACTGCAATGCTCGTCGTCCAGTTCTTGGAGGAGACATATTGGTCTTCGGTGGCGTTGCATCCTTTTCCACCCAAGCTCCGCGATAGTCTCAATGATACTGACAGTTCATTGTCAAGTTATACTGCTTTATCTATCGACAGCGCGCAGAAAACGTTGGGCGAAGGGTTTGACCAGTCTATGTTGCATCTCGCGCCGGCATTACCAAAGATTACCGAACAAAAAACACAACTCCATGAGTCGAATGACATATCTCAAACGCTTTACCCCAAGATTATTGCACTAGACACAGAGTACGCAAAGTATTTCTTTATCTCTCGCATATGTAGTAACAGCCAACAGGGGAACTCTGTGGTCTGGGTGGCTTAATCCAGACCGGTTTGATGACTTGGAACCCGACGATGATAATTCTAAATTCACATATATAAGGCAAGCACATGATGCTTTTACATAAATTGTGGGACTCATCTCAGGTAATCTGAGCGTAGTGATAGAAGCATTTGCATAGAGATGTATCGCGACGTTCCCAAGGTCATCAGCGATATTACAAAACGTGGAGCAAAGGTTGCCATTGTCCCCAAAGGGAGTAACGAAAGAATGTAACTGCAGCTTTTACCTCTAAGTCGTTGTTTCTCAAGTTGAACCATCTCCAGCGTCCAGCGTGCGTTACACCACTTCAAAGCTAACAATGAGCATGGCACGCGGATGCCTATTTTGTATCTTACCAATTTTATGGGCCTTGTCGACGGGGAGCAAGTGTCTCGTGAAAGTGGGTCCATATGAGGAGGCATATTCAGTACTTATATATCGTAATCAGAGTCAGCGATCAGTTTCTTCAAACAAGTCAAGGATCATGCCAAAGTTGATTACTCCGACATGGTGCGTACAGCTTTTTCTACGGAAAACATAAATTGTGCCCTAATGCGCTAACCATTCATAGATCCTTTTCGACGACGAGGCGGTGAATAATGATATTACGCATGAGCTCGGTTGGTGGCAATTTTATACGATTTTATTAGATAATTCAGCTCTGGTTAGGCATTACTTTTCAGATTTTGAAGTACAAAGACGGATTAACCTGGGGGGACTATCAGCGCGGCATAGATATGTGGCAACGCGCCAAATCCATCAGATCGCCGTACAAGGGACAAATCCTATCACATTACCCCCTAGCACTCCCCATAGGCTATGCGGCGGTCGACGAAGGAACCTTACACCTCCTGGAAAAAGGAGAAAGCTGGGTGGACACCAATGACTCAGCGAGATGGGGCTATGGGATGTATCTTACCGATAATCCGGCCATGTGAGTTCGCCAACTTCTTCTAGGTGTGTGAAAATATTAAAAACACCGATACCTAGTGTTGCCGCAGTTCGTATAACCGGGACCAGTCCCATAGGGACCGGTTTTTTGGCAAACATGGTTCGGTTTCAGGGACCAAACCATTTGTTAGGGTTTCAGAGGGTTAGTTCTCGGTTTGGAACCCCTGGGAGCCAAGACGCCATGTGACAAAGGACTGACGCGAGTATAGCTAGGATGTCTATGAAAGCGCAGACTCACCGGGCAGTTAGTTTGAAGGCTGAGTAGTAGCGGGTTAGGCTGATAGCTGACGATGGTAGTCGTTCGGTGGAGAGAGAAGACTTAGATGATATTCATGGTAGCGACTGTATATATATGACAGGAGCGTGTGAAGTCACTACCGTATTCGTAACTACTGTGCAGTCCAAGTCCCGCGGTAATGCAGGACGGCTACGTAAGCAGAACGTGGCCCTATGCGATGAACACGGAGCCACACGAGTGCGTAAGCGCTTAAGGTACCGCTGGGATACTAAGCGCCTGAATGGACGTATGAAGGCGATGTTTACTTGTAGACCTCTAGGAGGAACATCGCCGTACAGGAGGCTTCTGGATGAACCAATAAAGCCGTAAAGGG